TCAGTATCTAGGACAAGACTAAGCTTTTTGTGTTAAAAATATTAATCTTTCTTGCCAATATATCATTTTTTTTTTAGCATTAGATATTAATTACAATATTGCAATCAAAAAAACATGTTTTTGTAATGATATTTCAAACTAAAAGAGTTTCTAACCATGGGAGGAGTGAGGTTTGGGACAGTTTCCCAGTCAGAACTGTGGAGAAGAAAAACTCAAAGGACTTGGAAGTTAAAGCTAGAGCAGTTTATAGGTCTGTGCTACAGCCTGCTGTGGTAGGAAATGGCTAGGCCTAACTATCTGTAGTATACAGATTCCTTTTTTTCCTCTGTTCCCTTGCAATGAGATAAAAACCCAATATGATAGAAGTGTATTAGTGTAGTAAATAGAACATTCAGTAAGAAACAAAAAATACCATAAATTATAACCTATCTCTGAATTTTACAAACATTTTTAACACTCTGCATTATTGTGGGGGCTATATCTCTTAACACATCTTATAGGAAACCACTTGTCATAACTAAACCCTTTATTGCTAAACCCATTTCCTCTGCTTTACTTCATTGGCCCGAGTAGAAAGAGACGGAACGCGTTACAAACTTTTTAAAAGAAACTAGGATCTGAAAAAAACCCCAAACACTTGCCTTTACCAGTCTCTTTGTAAAAGTGTTGCTTTCTGCTTTCTATATGCCTATAGGTGCATTCCCAGCATCGCCTCACTCAGCTTCTGCCCTTTGGCCACAGCTAGCTGATGCTGGGGTGGATGGCAGCGGGGCTGCAGGTGGCCGTGCTGGGAGGAGAAGTGGTCAGCTCAGAGGCGCAGGGACGGAGGGAAGAGCCCTTTTAGCCTCCATCAGACAGGAGAACTCGGAGCTGCTGCTTCAGTATTTTCCACACATCTGAGTGGTGCCTGGAGCCTCGAGCTGCCCTTGGGAGCAGAGCGGCTGTGAGGAAGGTAGGTTGTGAGCTGGAGGATGGGGCTAGTGGGAGATGAATGTACCGAGGCTTACAGGGCTGCCCATGGCTCAGGAGGTCGGAGGACATAGGGGAGCGTGAGTTCGGGCGGGTGGGCTGCATGGTGCGGGGCTGTGCTGGGCTCAGAGGGTGACCAGGACCACGCATCACTGTGGCGGTGGTCCCCACCTTGCTAGGGAGGGCGATGAGGTGTTCGGCTGGGGGAAGCCGTGGGACCGCGCAGGCGCCTGAGCAGCAGTGTGGTGGCACCCTCAGTTGCTGCTGGAGCTATTTTGCAGGCAAAGCTGCTGTTAGTCTGAGGTGATGGATTTTGCAGGGCTTGTGAAAGGCCCTAGGGAAGGGCAGAGGGAGAAGGGAGTTGGGCGATAATAGGTGAGGTTCATTCTGGATATAAAATTTGTCAATTTTTATTTCTCTTATTGAAAAGGGTCATCTTATTTTTGAGGTAGCCTTGTATTTACATCACAGTAACACTGTTAACACTCCTCTATTGACCTTACAATTTCAGTTTTCTGCTTCTAAAAATCTATGTGGAATCTCTATTTCTCTGAAAGACAGTGTCTCTCCTGCTGCTCACTGTTCACAGGTATCCGCAGAACCTGGCGGTTATGAGATATGCTTTTGTTTGGATACTGGGGAAGGTAGCTTTGCGCTGCATGGATGTTTTTATTTCTGCAAGCAACTTCAGGAGCTTACCTGCCATTCAGAGAGTAGCAGTATTGAAAATGCTACACACATTAAAGATAAATACATTTATGACCCAAAGCTAATATGATTCTTATATTTTTTTTACCTGATAGGCTAAAATACTGTTGCAAGAGAGGCTATGCAGCCATGGAACATGTATGGTTTTTATGTTCCTAATATATACAAAGATGATTACTTACTTTATGTTGTTCCTTAACAGATAGATGTCTGGAAAAGAAAGAATTACATGCAGAACATTTCATCATCATAAAATAAAAATTACTGACTACTTAAATACTTTGATTACATCATCACTGAAAATGAATAGCCCTTGGCAAGGGAAGGATTTTATTATTGCTATAGAAATTCAGAGGCTGGTTATTTTTTTACATAAATTATTTGCAGGAGAAATTATGGACTTCCATAAAAAAGAATAGTGTCCACTGAGTTCATTATGGTAAATGAGAAAAGTCTTAGTTAAAGATTTATTCTGGGAGGAGAGGAGAGGAGAAAAGAGGAGAGGAGAAGAGGTATGAATGATTATCAGCTTTCTTCAACACTCTTCATCTCATGACAAAAAGACTTATTACAAACTTTAAAGTCAGCTATAAATGGAGGTAAGTTCCTTAAAGACTGAAGAGTTTCAAAAATGAAACATTCATGGAGGCAAAATGGAAAGTGTAGAGGAAAGGAGGTGCAAACCAGGAAAAGAGGAATGAAGAATGCTCCTCATGGTCCTGATTCAGGTAGGTCTCTTAAGTATTATTTCTGCCTTCTTCTGATATGCCTGATCAACAAGAATATCTTACTTTCCTGAGAAGGTTCATCAGAAAATGTTCTCTCCTCCAAAAATAGACAATGTATTGAGTCTAATGTCCTGGGTACGATGAACACTTATGCTTTTTGGTAGTATGTATCTCACAATAAAAGAGAGAGAGGACCAGATTTTAGAAGTTATTTAGCAACATAAGCATCCAGTTTTTTGAAGGCTCCGGGATTTAGTCCCTGCTTAGCTTACCTCCTGGACTGAGGAATGACAGTTGTTTTGCTAAATCAGTCAGAGCGAATGCAAAAGGAAAACACAGTACAGAAAATCCTGGGAGTTATTTTTCAAGAATGGGGTCTCTGCTTTGTGCCTGTGCTGAAAACATCAACATGGAGGGTTAAAGAAGCAAGAATTTTGGGCATGATCTGTTAGGAGAAAGTGTCAGGGAGGCTAGGAAAAGGAGAGGACTGTTTTGGTTGGAGAGTTGCTTTTGTGTTAGCTTCTGCAACTTTTTAGCTTGGTCTCCAAGGTCATTATTTGATATGTGGAAGCCTATATTCAGGACATGGGGTGTATGGTAAAGTTAAGTGGTAATAAAGCTGTGCTTGCAGGGCTGGCCTCCACCACGGTGGGACACGCCACTCGCATGGCCTGCTTACCACAGGCTTGTAAAAGTTTAAATCATGCCAAAGCTTCCAAGATACGTTCCAAGGTCCTGCACATGCCTGTTTTTTAAGATGAGGCTATTTATGGAGTGTTTATGTGTTTATTTACGTGTTTAAACACAAATAATGATGTGTTTAATGTTATAAGTTTTCCAAATCTTGTTGGAAAACAGGACTTGCACTCCTAAATCGCATCTGCGGTTTGACAGCTTTGCTTGCCGTCTAGCAGATAGCGTCTCTAGCGCCGTACCCCTCCGCACTGCAGCCCTTACGTGTGTTTTCTTCTTATGAAGCTGTGACTGGACTGAAGATGGGTGAGAAATACTTTGAGTGGAGTGCTCGTGTGGGAAATTTGTGAAGTGCCTTCCCCAGATCATGTGTAGTCTTAGTCTGTGCCACTTCTCTCTTACTCATGTGATTAAAAATCCCAGTACAACAAAAACAACAACAACAAAAAACATTTTAGACTATTAAACTATTAGAAATAGTTTGGTGTCTATAACAGCAGTGAGAAGTGGAGTTTGGTGGTTATGATTTTTGTTGCTGCCTTACTTGTAGAATAAGAAATGGCATGTATTTATCTTACAGAATTTGAATTTATAATAGGACCTTTCAAATCCAAGTGTTCTGCACGCTGATGTCTGCTGGCAAACAGGGTTTATGACAGTTCTCCCAGAGATTTCAATGTATGTGCTGCTCTACCGAGGGAGGGGATCAGTCATGGGATTTGGAACTTTGCAGCTATAGGTCATGCATCTGGATATGAAGCTACTTCATATTAATAAAATGTCTTAACAACCAACAGCTTTTGGAACGTAATCCATGAAAGAATTTAAGCACCATTCAGGAAACAAAACAACCCATACTTAGAGCTCACTCCTTAAGTATATACTTAACTTTAAGAAGATCATTTCATTGATCTGTAATTTTTTTTTCCCCCATGGGATTTGTAGTGACCTTTGTAAAATGAAGCAAAATTCCATCCCGATGAACTGAAATTGAACCAATTTAAGAAAGGATGGACAGGATTGACACAGCTCAGTTGTGCCCAAACTCCTGGCTGCCATAGGTTTTGCTGAGTGACGTTTAAGTGTTGTACCCTGTGGCCCCTGGGTGTGTGTCATTCCTATTCCCAGCATGGGTCCACCACCATCCCCGTTTATGAATGTGCATTTTGGTCACACAGCAAGAGCACATATGCCTCTGGTTACGTGGTGGTGAGCAGCGTACATGCATGCTCATCTGACTGGATACATGTGGAAAAACAACCAGACATAATTTGACATACGCATGTGCTTGGTCCCACAGCTGGACATGAGTGGTTTGTGCTTTGGGATTCAGCACTCCTTCACACTGCCGTGTCAAGATGCTGAATGAACGTGTGTGTCGTATGACAGAGGAGAGCACGATGGAAAGGGCAAGAAGCAACTCCTTAGTCTGGATTCATTGGTCTCATAGGCAAGATGAGTGGCTACAGATTAGTAATTTCTTTTGCTGACTGTAACGTCCTTTGGATGTGGAGCGTATTTCTGTATCTGTGGTGCAGTCAGTGTATTTCGCCATCACGTGATTCAGCAACTGTACTGAGCAAGTATGTTTGTTTCTGCTTAGAAGTGGTTGCAAAACCTTTAAATGTTAGTAAGAAAAAGTAGGACAAACCTTAAACAAAGTGTTCATGAAAGTTCTGCCTACTCCTCTACTTCTTTAACATTGTTTTGGCATTTTTTTCTTAAAAAAATGCTAGTGTCATGTTATGCTAAATACCACTTTTTCAATTATTCACAGCTGTCTAAAGAATAACTTTTCTTTTCTTAAGTAAAAGCAGAGGTGCGATGGAGGTAAAGTCTTGTGGTTTGACTGGGGACAGTGTTTTGGTTCTCAGGGAATGAGGATGAGGAAGGCACCCATACCTTGTGACTTTTGCTGATACTGGAAAGGTGTGAGCTTGGCTGAGCATTTTCCTCGTGTGAAAGAACGGGCTGCTTATCTTCGGCTCTGGAGGAAGCGGCTGATACTGCTTTGGCAGTGTCGTCAGAGGCCTAGAGAAGTCAAAGGAGAATTTGAAGAACTATTAGGGAATAAAGGAGGCGCAGGGACTGTGTTATAGGTGCATGCTCAAGAAGTAAAATACTGGAATTTTCCAAGAGCATTTCAATGTATTTGTGCTGAGCTTAGCTCAGATCCAGGAGCTTCTTGGGGCCCTTCAATAGGAATAGTAATTTTGGATAATATTCTACATTTGCAAGACATTACTGTACGCTGTTACATGCCACTTGACACTGCTTTTGCGTGCTTCACCAGTATGTGCCAAGTACAGCTCTCCAGTGTTGATATTTCTGGGTGGATATGGCTGTGTGTAAGGCCCAGCCAGGGAACACACTGCAGTTCAGACACACAGGAAAAAATGCTCTTCATCCCAAAAAACTCACAGCTAACACATACCCGGTGTTTCCCGGCAGACATGGGCACGCTCTTCTCGTGCTCTGAGACCAGCTAGTCACAGCCCAGCCCCAAGGGGAAGATGTGGCACGGAGAGCTTGGGTGACTAAAACTGGGGGTGCATCCGCACTGCACTGCAGACCTGCCCTTCTGCGGTGAGCTTCTGGGGAGGGAACCTCATGGGTTTGGGTGGTACAGGCCAAAATTTAGTCAAGTGGGAGAATTAAGAACCATTCTGTCCACCATAATACATACGGAAGCAAATAGTGAAATTTTGTAGAATAATGGAATGAGAACATTCTTTCTGCGCTTTTGCAGTTTTGAATTTGTGAAGCTACACTGTCTTTCTATGCTCTTATTTCATATTTTAACTTAAGGAATAATCTGAATATATCTGTAACACTAATCATATTTTAAACTTCTTTATAGCTTTTACGACAATCAGTGTAGGCACAGAGGAATAAGCTTATCAGTCCTGGATGACATTTTGGAAGGATGTCTTAATTGTAGCAGTTATTGTTTGGGGTTGAAAAGATCAAGAAGTGATTAATTTTTTGTTTGTGGCCATATCATAGAAAAATATATTCATGGAATAGAGCTTGGTCCATCTTCTGTGGGAGTAAGTGACAATATTCCATTGATGTCTACGGGCATGATTTAGATTTGTAGCAAAAAAAATTGGCAGAAAGATTTAAGATGTGATGAAGTCAATGTTATCATAGTGAACAGAGCCTAAGGCACTAATACAAATTGATGGAAGATATTTTTTCCCCCAATAATTTATTTCTGAGTTGAACCAGATTCAAGATTTCTAGGCTTTTGACGTTGTTGTAGGCTCAGCAAAGTTGATTTTTAAGATGGAAGCCTGAGGTCCTGCTATGAACGCTTATGGCTCATGTTTTGTTTTCCCTAGTTTCATATGAGAACCTAAAAAAGTTCAAACAGAGCCAGGTACTAAAAGGATGCTGGCTCACTTCCGGTCATCTCGTTACCATGAGCAGTACAGATGGACGTGAGCGTTCATTAGCTTTAAGTTCCCCGAGGACTGGAGGTAAGTGATCTCTTCAATGATCTTACCGTGGGGGAGGCACAGGGTCCTGGAAAAGAGAGGAAACAAAAATCCATGTAAGCTTTTCCCCTTGTTTTACTAAGAAACATAAAAAGTTTAGATTAACCAAACATGCTTGTGTCAACGGTCAAAGGGTTTATGTACTCTACAGCACATAACATCATCCGTTAATATGCCATTTTATAATCACTGAGGGTTAAAAGATGTCTACATAAACCATGAATGCAAGTAAGTGGGATAATGTAGGGCTGCAGATATAAGTTCTCTTATCCTTTAGTTAGTGCTAGCAAAATTGCAGCCTGCTTTTAAAGATACATTAAAAGTCAAAGTGACCTGTAAAAATTTTAGTTAATGAGAGCTTCTGCTTACCTGGGGTCCATATATTTTCATTCTTTCTCCTAAAAATAATTATTAATAATTGTTAATAGAGTGCTACCCATATAATTCACAAATAAAGATATAGCTTTATTCTGGTATTGTTATTATTATTGGCAGTCCAGCCTCATCCCCCTGGCCCTGGGCCCCAGCATTACGTCCAGAACTCTTTGCTCCAAGGTCATGTTGCTGTCCTCACAGCATTCATCTTACCTATCACATCTGTATCACCATAACTTTTCCTGCTACTGACTGGGGAGCATTAATTTCTGTGAACCTAGAAGAAGCTTGAAGCTTTGGAGGTTCAGTGGGAGATTGTTATGTGTGGGAACGGAGGTAGGTCACAGCCTAGACCTGAGACAGAGGTCACTGAAGTGCATATTTTCTCTATTAGCTGGTCTTCTCGAGGCCAACGGGCTCTGAATGAGGCTTACTGGAAGTGGAGGGCATTTTGTTTGATCTGTACTTTATTTAGCCTTCCTTCAGGGTGGATTCACGGATGGATTCAAGTGCAACTTACTCTCAACCTTTGTGCTTCTCTCCATATAAAACACAAGACTAAGTGTACTTAGATAATTATGGCAATTATAGAAGTGTTGACAATTTTCCTGTGCTGTAGCCAGTAAATCTTTTGAATATCACTCAAAACCAGTCATTTCATAAGAGACGTAACTAAGAATCAGTTAAAGTTAAAGCAGGAAAAAACAAGTTGTGGTTTTTTTTTTTTTAGCTTTAATTATTTATTTCCTTTATTTTAATAAAGGAAATAAAAAAATATCATTATGATACTTGATAAAACAGGGTGCACTTTGGTTTACCTCTGATTTTCAGAATGAAACATTTGGGGTTGATATTTATTCAAGTATTGTAAATTTAAATATTGTTAAGAGACTTCACATATATGTTTATCAAGTTGTTTGGGATGCGTTTTTTGTCTGTTTTGATTTTTGTATGGAAATTTACAGAAATCTTGAAAAGCAATGAAAGTCAATATGTTTTTTTTCCCCCTGAAATTTACCAAAATATGACTGATTATTTAAATGAACGTAGCACATCTTCCTAATAAAAACCCTATCTCATCCTATTCGAATTGGATTTTGATTTTTAAATTATTTTCATAATATTTCATACTGAAATCCTAATTCATGCAAAAAGAGATGCAATGTATCTCAAGTTCTCCTTCAAGTAAACCATAATAAATTGCTCTGAATAAAATAATGGTACCTTAAATGTTTAACAATTCTAGAACACAGCAGTTGACAAAAATTCTTCTGTGCTGTTCATGCCATCTTGTGGCAAAGCCACTTAATAGCTCTGGGCATGAAAATAGATTATATTTAATAGCAGTGTAGTTATTATCTAAAAATAATAGTCCTCTGTAAGCACTATCAGTTCAGGATGTACCAAAAATATGTGTAAGTTGCATTCTCAAACTGTGGAGTTTAATTTACCTGCCTGCACTGTCTTTGGTTCATCTCAATGTCAGCACATGCCTGTGGAGGCAGACCAACATACAAATCCAACCGACTAAATCCTGGTGGAATTTGAAGCTTTACCTAAACTAGCAAACGGTCAGTAGGACCTTGCCTACTGTTTTCTGCAGATTTTGAAACTGGCTTGTTCAAATTTCTCTCAATTTAGCTTTTTTACAAGGTGCACCAGGATTTGCCCACAAGAGTCAATCTCACCTTTCATTTTGCAAACTTTATAGTGCTTATTTTCTAATCTGTAGGAATTATCTGGCTCTATGTTTTGTATTATAGTATGAAATAGAAGAAAAAAGAAAGCAAATTCTGTTTTGCGTGGAATTCTTTGTGCTATTTTTCTGGCTGATCAGATAGAATACCTACTCTCTGAAAACCAGCTGTTAGTAAACACAGAAAGGATCATCTTTTCCTGGCTTGGCAATTGTATTCTTTTTTGACCATACTTAGCATATGGTTCAAAGATATGAAAATGATGAGAGAAAAAATGTCATTCCTTTTCAAGGTTAATCAGATATTTAATCCATCAGTAGTTGAATTCATGAGATATTGCTACACCTAAAGTGTATCAAATATTAAAAAAGTACATAGAAAAGTATATAGTAACCTACTTTGAAAATAATCTTACATTCGAGTAAAGCCATCAACTAAAGGATTTAATAGTTGGACACCTCATTAGATTCTTGAAGAATAAGATAGCAATCTTTCTCCAATTTCACCAAGAAACAAACTAAAATAAACAAAAATTAAAGGTACATTTGTGACTCAAAATTATAGATTCTGAAGCAAATTTACAGTTAAAGGTAAAGTAGTGGAGAAAAAATATATGCTAGGTGATATACCACATAATTAGCATATTCTTAGTAGGAGAGCATTGTCAGATAGATTTTGTGAATAGGGGTAACTAACCTATGGTAATTCCTAACCTATTCCTTAGTAGGAATTGCTAAAGTTGATATTACTATTTAAGAATAATTATTAGATTATGCTTTACAATATATTAATACAAAATGCCTGAGAAGAATAGGAAGCCAAAAAGTGTGGGATCATGAGAAGGCGAAGTAAAGCATAGCAGAGATCTTGCAGCCTTTTGGAGGAACAGATCAGGAAATACAGGCTTCCCCTGACCCTCCCTGCTATGTCTTTATAATTGTAGGGAAGAGGAACACCTGATGTTTAAATTGAATGGGTTTTTTTTTCCCTCCTCGAGGAACAGGGAGCTCATGAGATAAAATATATCTCCTTTTGTAAATAATTACTTTGATGTTAGATAGTTGACAGTATTGCAAAATTTACAGTATGATTATATTGGAAAGCAGCTGCTGTTCTGAAAGCCGTGTCTATTCTAACATCTACAACCTCTGCTTATGTACAAAAGCTAAATGTGGAAGCAACAGTTTCTATTTCTGATTGCAGAACTGGGTAGATTTTTTAATTATACCTCTAACACTTGGCACGCTTCTCCCCTCCAGAACAGATGTGTGTTTCTGTTAATAAAACAAAATAAAGATGTGATGTTAGTCATCATCCTTGAAACTACGGCTAGCAGAAACGGTGCTGCTCCCGACTGGGATGCCTCTAACACTTGGTAGATCCCCAGCAGCCAACAAGTGAAAGCAAGTGGTGAGGACATCGGTGCAAAGTGAAACTGGAACTGCTCACAGAAACTTGTGTGACTTTGTACAATCGAATGTGATGTGGCTAAGATTTTAAACAGACTGCGCTTAACTTTAAATGATGTTACAGAAAAGGAGAAATCTGTTTGCAAATAGAGTTTAAGATCGTTACTTACAGCCGAGTATTGAGGGGGCTGAGATGTGTGCTGGCTGTTCGTTGAGGAAGCGGTACCTGCAGGCCTTAAACAACGTTTATCTGTAAAAGAGGAAGAAAAAGCAAGCCTGAGTAATTCAGTAATACTGTGTTTTAAGAATAAGAGGATTTAATGTTCAAAATCTGTTTTTCAGGTCAGATCTTGACATTTTTACAGCATTTTAAGTTTTTTCCATTTCAGAACTTAACCATTATTTTAGTAGCTATATTGAGGACATTAGCAGGACCCTGATAATAGCTTTATGGATAACCTCCTCACTGTGGTTAAAAAAAAAGCTTTCGTAAGCTGGTATATAGTTAAGGCAGACATTTGACCTAAAATGTGAATAGATTAGAGAATTTGTTTTTCATTTGAACCTTTGTTCTTGGCAATGCCATTGTGTTGCTCTGGTTTTACTAGGGTGGCAGGGCCATATGTGTGTGTGTGTGTGTGTGTTTACTCTCTAGAGAGCTTTTTCAGTTTTACTTTAGCTTTTAATAAATACTGCACCCATGGCGATCTAAAAGAAATGCTCAGGTTGTACACTAGCATGTGTTTTTGAGTCATTAATTTTATATCTCAAGGGCATTGTTATTTGTCTAGGAAAGACCGCAAAATGGGATGTTAGCATTGAGTTTTGCCTTTCTGAAATACATTTTGAGACTTCTCTTCACCCTTGTATCCTGCCACATTATAGTTACTGGGCATAACACACAGGAAAAAAGCACCTTTTTGTTTAATGTGTTTTCTCTGAAAGCATAAACCAAAAATGGTGTCTTTTTGGTATTTCAGGACAGTCTTACATAAACAGCAAAAGATGCTGACTGCTGACTGAAAGTCTTTACTACTAACCAAGATAAAAACAGTATTTGGAATTTACTTCAGATTTTCAAGTCAAATGCACAAATGAGTCTTTGGAACATAATGTAGGATATCTGGATGTTCAGACTGATTGTGATCCGCTCACACACTGATAAATTTGCTCACGTTAAAAACCATCTATTTGTTTAAACATCAAACTAACTCCCACAAAAATCAGTAGAAAAATCTTTGCTGATTTTGATATGAACTGGAGCAAGCTTTCATGTATATATTGATCCTGTATTTTCAGATATTTTTGGTTTCTGGTTTCCATTCTTCTGCATCTAGCATTTCCCTCCCCTCACCCAGTTTTTATGTGATTGAAAACCTCCACAAAGTGTTTCTAATGGCTTTGAGCAATGGATAGCTAGGATGATATTTCACTTCTGTAAATGGGATATTAATTGGCTGTGTGTGTTTGGGCATTAAATGTGACTTAGAATGGCTTTAGTAAACCAAAACTTGATTAATGTAAGGTTACGAGTGCCTGAGAAATACACTGAAAGTAATTGGTTATTACTGCTATTGAAAGTGGCAGAAAACACCTTTAAAAAGAATACTACATTTCTTCATCTGCAAATTATCATCTGGAGGAAACTTTCACGTGTTCTTTAATATGTTTTCCATCTTAAAGGTTTCTAGGCTTAAATAGCTGTGGGCTTTTCTGAAACGGTTTAGGTTTGACCAGGCAATTTTTTGCACATTCCTGGTGGAATAGGATCACAGAATTTTTCCTGTGAAGGTAATATTAAAATTACAAAAGCAGCATGTAATTATTGATTTAACATAATCTAATAAAAATAAGGGTAACTATTGAATATGAACAGACATATGAACAGTAGACAAAGCTCTTCTCTTGTTCCTGCCCACCACTGCTCACCAGCGTTCTATTTTTCACTTGAACCATTTAGTTTAAAAAAATATCTGGACTGAATACCTCAAGTCTGTACTGTTCCTATGTACCTCTAGCAAAAGTTACCTGCATATTCAGATTCTTGTATAGGTTTGGCAGGAAGGATTCTCAAAGCTTGGATGGCCTCCAGAGTGGAAGAGTTTACAGTCTCGTAATCCCCTTCTTCCTCCTCAGATGCCTTGGAGGAAGATTGTAAGTCACTCTTGCCCTTCATTGTCAAATCTTTGTTCTGTGTAGAAGAAAGATATGCAATTGAGTTCAAGATTAATTTCAGATTCGGAAATGTTTGATTACCAGAACCAGACATTTTGGTGCACGGGAAATTTTCTGATGGAAATTGAAGGGTTGGAAAGTACTTGTGCAACGGTTTTGAGGATATAAATTTTTGACTTAGATTCATAAAATAGCCATTTGGGAGACCATTTAGATCTCTCTCTGAATTTGGCTTATCATCACTCTGGAAAATATAATAAGTGTTTAATTTTATGATCATTACAGACATTTGAAACCATGCTTTTCATTATAATATTATCCATGTGGTATTTGTATTGTACTGACTGCTTACATTTGTTACTTGCAAGAATATATTAACTAGCTCATCACAAATATAACACTTTAAAATAAAAACATGCACTATTTTTGAGAATTTGTGCTAGCAAATGTGCAGTCCAAGTGAATGCGATAACAAATATGTATTGAACAGTGGAGTCCACAGAAATGTCGTGTTGAGAGTGACTCAAGATGCCTCTGGATGTGTCAATATACTTGTGCTAGTTTTGTTCAAGGAGATTTTCTGGAGCCCTGCTCCATCCTTCATACTCACTGTTTACATACTGGAACAAAACTGCCGTCTTCCTTAAGGAGGAGACATGCACAAACAGCACAGAGCTGAGATTGCTGCTGAGTGAACTCAACTGAGGGCAGCCAGTGTCTTTGCAAGTCATATTTGCTATCAGAGACAGTATAGGTGCATTCACACAGTTGGATCTTCCCAGATGCTTATTTTAATCTCTTCTCAAACTCACTAGTAATGGGGAATCAATAGCTTCCTGAGGTGTCTTCTTCCACTAGTTAACTGTCCTTTCACTTCATGCTTTCTCTCTTGAGTGCTACAAATTAAACCAATTTGTTTTACCCTTCAAGGACGCTAAAAATATTGATTACTGTCCACTTTATTTCAATCTTTATTATACTTAATGCCACTAATTATATTTCCTTTTAGTCTTCTCACTAAGAAAGTATAATTCTTTAAAGCTTTCCTGAATTGTCAACGATCTTAAAAGATTTTGAACCTTGTACCCCCAGTGTTACTTTCCTGTGAACTGTCTCCAGGTTGCACACATTTTTATTGTAACATCAAGCAGACCTCCAAGAAGTCCTGGATGACATCCTTGTCTCTAAAGTGGAGAGATGGATTTGATGAATGGACCACTTGGTGGATAAGGAATTGGCTGGATGGTTGCACTCAAAGAGTTGTGGTCAACAGCTCAATGTCCAAGTGGAGACCAGTGACGAGTGGTGTTCCTCAGGGGTCGGTGTTGGGGCCAGGACTGTTTAATGCCTTTGCTGGTGACATGGACAGTGTGATTGAGTGCACCCTCAGCAAATTTGCTGATGACATCAAGCTGTGTGATGCAGTCAACATGCTGGAGGGAAAGGATGCCATCCAGCGCGAGACAGGCTTAAGAGGTGGGTCTGTGCAAACCTCATGAAGTTCAACAAGGCCATGTGCAAGGTCCTGCACATGGGTCAGAGCAATCTCATGCACAGATACAGGCTGGGTGGAGAGGGATTGAGTGCAGCCCTGCAACAGCCTGGGGGTGTCTGTTGATGAGAAGCTCAACATGAGCCAGCAGTCTGTGCTTGCAGCTCAGAAAGACAACTATATTCTGGGCTGCATCAAAAGAAGTGTGGCCAGCAGGTTGAGAGAGGTGATTCTGCCCCTCTGCTCTGCTCGCGTGAGACCCCACCTGCAGTACTGTGATCAGCTCTGGAGCCCCTGACACAAGAAGGACATGGAGCTGTTGGAGTGTATCCAGAGGAGGGCCATGAAGATGATCTGAGGGCTGGAGCAGCTCTCCTATGAAAACAGGCTGAGAGTGTTGAGGGTGTTCAGCCTGGGGAAGAGAAGGCTCTGGGGAGATCTTATTGCAGCCTTCCGGTACTTAAAGGGGGCCTACAATAAAGCTGGAGAGAGACTTTTTCCAAGGGCATGTAGTGATTAGACAAGGGGCAATGGCTTTAAACTGAATGAGGGTAGATTTCAATTAGATCTAAGGAAGACGTTTTTTACTCTAAGGGTGGATGAAGCTTTGAGCAACCTAGAGTAGTGGAGGGTGTCCCTGCTGATGGCAGGGGGATTGGAACTAGATGATCTTGAAGGTCCCTTCCAACCCAAACCATTCTATGATTCTATAATACGTGTTCTTGACATTACATTTCAGGGTGAGGTTTGCCTTTTTATAACACTACAAGAAAAATACCACCACACCCTAGACAGACCCCTACAGGACACTTGGGTTTGCAGGCTCTTCTGCTGCATAACTCTTTCCAGTTCAGTAGCAGACTACTGTCAGCTAGGCTGACGGTGCATATTTTTTCAATGAATTGTGCGAACACTTCACACATTTTCATCTAGACCAGGTTTCTACTTGTGAGACTGTCTTCTGGGAAATGTCAAAGACCTAACAGAAATCAAGATATAACACATCTACTGTTTTCTTTCTCCTCATTATGGTCGTATTTCTGCTGAGAGGGAAATTGCTTTGAGGAGTTGATGAGATGTTCTTCATGTTCACATTAGTAATTTTTTACATGACTTCAGTAGTCTGTGAAGGTATCCAATGAACCTTCAGGATTTGCTTGCTTTCTTGTAAGAATTTGATGTTAGCACTGTTCTTTTCTGTTACTTTAGGAACTCAGGACTCCTTCCCAAAGATAATCAATTAATGTCTCAGAAATTACTTCAAATACTTCCCTAAATGCTGTAGCATAAGTAGATGTTCTCCTGGCTGTTCTTTCCCTGTTCTACTTTGTGCTATTACTGTCTTCTAGTTGGTATTAATCCCATATAGCGTCTGATTGTAATTAAGCTTTCTATGAAACCTGAAGCAGCCAAAGTATTAATGGCATCAACCTTATTTAGTCATCCTTAACTTGTTCAACTTGCTTATTAAGACATAGACCTGTATTTTCTTTTCATCTTTATCTGACTTTTAAAGTATTTGCAGTCTTTTCTCATATGCCTGAGCTGAAACTCAAACTCTGCTTTCAGATACAAATGGGAAGACATTGAAATGTGTACTGTTAGTTTTTCGACTTTCATTTGCATTGGTTACATGTTAAACCTTGAGGTTTGTGATTACACAGTTGTTCAGCTTGACTCCTGTTATTTTCACGTGATCTTATGAAAGGTGCATTTTAGATTCAGACTATAAATGGAGAAGTGAGTGACTTCTCTAATCTAGCTCCCACTAACACAAAACAAAAGTTCTCATATATACTTCAAAATTCTCATGCTTCATTCTGCAATAACAAACAGTGAGGATTACATTTTCTGTTTCTAGCATTATAGACAAGATGATATTAACACGCATCAGAAAATGAAAGAAAAGTAAAATTTTAGGAAGAACAGTATAATACTTACAAAATGATGGGTATTAGCAGGAATAGTTCTTCTGTTCTCTGTATGAAATAGAGAAAAAATGTCAGCAGGTGTAATTCTGTAGACAATGATACAATAACACATATAAGAATAAAAATCTGCCAACTGCACAGTATTTTACAGATGCTAAAACAAATGAGATGAAGCAAATCCACTCATGTTTTTTGACCTATGCAATGCATGAGGAAGCAGCTGCGTGGAAATGGGATTCACAACCACTGACATATCTAAGCCCACCCACAGAAAATACCCTGAGAAGAATGTGCTCCAACTTCTCTCTCTCTTCTGAGTTTCGCTGTTTGTGCAGAACTGCAAGGGCTCACCCTGGTGATCTTGGAGATGCTGGTCTGGAAGTCCTTCTTCTGAATGGAAACATATCTTGTTCCTTTAGTGGCAGAAGAAAATCTGACCTCTCGCTTTCAAGACTGAACTGGAAAATGAGTTGTGCTGATGTTTTTTCTGTAGTAGCACAGCATTTGCCCAGGAAATTGGAGTCCTGGTTTCAGCTTGAAAAGCTCCAGATTAACGTTTCTCAAAAGCGAGAACACTCGAGCTACCAGGCTGTACACTATTCTAGGTAGTGGCTGTCTCATGAAGTTGTCTCATGGTATAGCCAGGAGAGCAGAAGTTACAGAGCCAGAGAGCTGGTGAACAGGAGAGTGAGTTCACTTGAGAAGAGACTCCCAAATTCTGCCCGTAGCCTGATTTGCATGTTTAATCCAGTGACTGTTTAATGCAAAACAGCCATGCTATGTCCTTGCCCAGCATGTGCTCTTGTTCTGGACTGTTGAAGCAATCCTTGCTTGGGCTGCCGGTAGCCTCACAGATCTCACATCTGTGGCTACATAATAGCCCAGTTTCAAAAGCAGAGCATGAAAGTCCTTCTGTTAAGCCTAACCTATGGCATATAATGCTTAGGAGGAAGGGAGAGTTGGGGACTGAAATCCTTTTATGCCAAGAAGCAAGTTAAAATAAGACTCACTTCTTGCCCAGGTGGAGTACCCTGTGCAAGTGTGGGAAGGATGGGTAGCATCCCATAACCCTCCCTGCCAGCTGTGTTTTGAAAGAAGCCAGTCTTTACCAAAATAGTCTCTTTACATTTGTCACTATTCTTTTAAGTTCTGAATACTGCATGAGCCTGGTATTGCAGAGTATTGTATACTCCAGCAGATGGCATTGAATGTTCATTTATTCAATATACACAGTACTTTTATCTCTGCTCAGGGGTTATTCATGGGTGGGGTGGTGGAGAGGAAGAGTTATTCATGCAAACTAGTTGTCTCATTTTCTGTTTAGTTACGCTGGTGTGAATCAGAATTTAGCCCAGTTGAACATTGCTGAGGAAAACTGATGCAGAGGAGTATAATTAGGTAGTACCAATACAATAATGAAAAAAGGCAGGCAGTGTCTTAAATTGTAGCCTTTTTGCTTCTGTTAATAAAAAACAGTTATTCTATCCTCAACAATAAGAAACAAATAACAGTAGTAAGCATTGGAGCTATTAGCCCTGCATTTCATGGCTTAATGCTGAAGGGGACTGTTTGACACAAGCCTTTGGAGTGATT